TTCACTAATTGAAACAAAAAAAAAAAAAAAAACAATTTATTAATTAGTTACACCGTAGTTTCTTTACTCCGAGATGGAAAAACAACCGCCAAAAAGAAAGAAAAAACAACGTCCATTCGTTTGTATAAATACATAGATATATATGTATATTACAATCTCGTTCATTAATTCCTCGTAGGATTCCTCGCTTGGAACTAATTCAAAGTATAACTTTTTTTTCCCTTCCCGAACTAATTACAGAGAGAGAGAGAGAGAGAGAGCAATTTAAAAACTCGCTCGGCTCTACGGTACATGATGTACATGTATCTACATATAAATCGGCATGGAGGCCTAATTTGTCTATCTACACGTACACAGCCACGACAGGTAAATACATGCCGTTTCAAACGATTTGTCTCTCGGTGTATTAATTTTGTTGGCAAACAACGACGCGAAAATTAATAGCTCTCCGTGGAGAAGCGATAACCCGACTTGAGGAGCGTTTTTTTAACGTGCAAGGAGAGGGGAAACAAAAAAAAACAAGCGGTGAGATTTTTGATATATATAGTCTACGGTAAATCAACATGTTTTGCCGCAGAGCGCATAAAAAAGGGCGCTAATCGAGGGGCACTCTTTCAATTCAAAGTCTTTTTTGATGACTTTTTCAAATCTTCGAAAGACTTGAAATGACTTTAAGAGTGCCCGACCCCTCGGTATATATTGTACATACACCGAGAGAAAAACATAATAAAAATTACTGTGCTATAGAATGGTAATCTGGTAGTGTTCGGTCGTCTAGAGACTTTTTACCATTCGAACGATAATTTTTATTGTTTGGAAGAGTAATTTTTGTCATAAGTATAGTGGTTTTTACTGTTTGTACAACAGAAATTACTGACCAGCAATGAAATAATAAAAATTAGGTTGGCCAAAGTAAAAAAAGTCCCTAGATGGCGGAATATGACACCAGATTACCATTTTAAGAGTGATTTTTATTATATTTTTGTCTCAGTGTACTTATGGATCGATGATGGAAAACTCGATGTCTCGGGCACATTAAAAGAGCACGTATATACGGACTCGAGAAAAAGCCGAACAATTTTTTTTACTCCTAACTACACAGTGTATGCGCAATATAGAACTTGTTATGTCGGAAGTGATTTTTATCAAAATCTGGCGCTTTACATCGGTCGGTCCGATGTTTTCGGCTATGAAAACCATCAGTGTATACGCCTCGGTCTCGCGTAACCAACAACAACAACAACAACAACAACAAAAAAACCACGCCAACCACTGGTCTATATACTCACGAAGCGCTGGGCATACTCGCGGCTCTTTAAACTCTCTTGACCTTGCATAATCGGGTGTAAAAAGAAAAAAGTGTGGCTCGCTCGCCTTCAAAGTTCGTTCTTTCCCGTGCTCGACTCTCCTCGTCGTGTATTCATAAGTATATATAATTATACGAGTAAACCGACGGCAAAAGCAATGAAACTTTTCTTCTTTTTTTTTTTCCCACCAAATTATTCATACTTCAATCCGTGTTTGATGAAGAAAACATTGTCACGATGAAAATTGAACAAATCCAAGTCTGGATAATTAAAAAAAAAAAAAAAAAACTTCACAAACCATATATGACACCTCGTTCACGCATCCATAGTTACTTACTCCTCTATATACGGCTATGTATGTGCATGTAAGTTTGATTGATCGTTCGTTGAGTAGAATCGGCACGCCGAAGGCGTTCGCACATCAAAACGTCGCTCAAAGTATATAGCGAGGGGAGGCCCTGACTCTCGTGTACATATATTATGCACCTATATGCAACAGAGCTCGCTATCAATTAGC